GTGTGTGTGTGTGTGTGTGTGAGAGAGAGAGAGAGAGAGAGAGAGAGAGAGAGCTTGAAAAGTGTGTCTGTGCCTGTGTGTGTGTGTGTGTGTGTGTGTGTGTGTGTGCGTGCGTGTGTGTGAGAGAGAGAGAGCTTGAAAAGTGTGTGTGTGTCTGTGCCTATGTGTGTGTGTGTGTGTGTGTGTGTGTGTGTGCGTGCGTGCGAGAGAGAGAGAGAGAGAGAATGTTCTTACTCCTGCAGGTTCTCCTTCAGTACTTCATATTTCATCTCCTGTTCCTCTAGCAGGGACAACAGGTCCTTCAGGTCGTAGGGCGGCACTCGGACATCTACTGGTCTATTCAGAGCCACCCCTTCTGTCCAGAAGTCCAACTACTCAAAATAAAATACTGAATTAAATCAAACGCTTCAATATTCAATACTCCATTATAAACTATCAACTGTAAATATCGTGATTGGGTGGAAATGTTATCCGTTGTCACGGTTATGTACATTGTACGAATAATTGGATTTTTCGTCTTTAAATCTTTCAATGCTTAAACCTCTTTAAATTATTAAATATAATTGGCAGTTTTCTTTTTCAGAATGTTCACTTATGGACAGTCAGATGTCATTCGGGCATTTCGGCTGAATCAGTTTATTGAATAATGCTCTTACAGCAATCATGGTTGTTCCTAACTGTATAGACTTTTTCGGATATGCTTCAAAAGCAAGTGACCTATGACGCAGATACAGAGAATATAACAATCGTAAAGCTTCCCATTGATGATTGCTCACAATGAGAGCGAGAAAGGCTTCCCAAATACTTTTCTGTCGGGCTTTTAGAGCTAAAATGACAGCTGCTAGGCAAATTATAAGTAAATAAATTCATAAAAGAATGCCGGATGACTTATTTGAAAAGAATAGGCTATAACTCACAATAGTATTTAAATGTTAATTCTATGAATTAAAACTTATTCTCGTCTCTAGAGATACTGTCTTTGGTTATTTTTGCATTAAAAATATTAATACAGTACCACTTGAATATGTGTTAACGCTCCCTCAAGCTGACTTATCTTACCCCGATGTCCGGGTTGTCAAGCAGCTGCTGTATCAAGTGAATGTGGTCTTCATTTGTGGGATGCAGTCGGAATAATTTGTGCCTAAAAGGGTATTAAATACCGGTAAGCAACAATTTGTTTACTACACATAATTGTATGTGCTACCTTTTTTGTTAAAAGTTAGACAATACTGTGGTCCGTAGGAGCCTGCTCGTTAGTCTTACGTGGTTCCTTTTTTTAAATCCAAAATGTATTGGATAAACGTTTGCGGTTTTAACTTATAGAAGACGAACGCACAGGCTCACTACTACCGGTTAACTCGTCTATTGCGCAATGGTCGGTAAGACTTGTTAACACGGCTTATGGGGCTTGGGGACTAATCCGGTATACTAGACCAACTACAGTATTTGTTCACTTTCTTAGTGGCTAGCCCCCTTCTCCTTCTCCCAACTGTAAATTCTCCTTCGTCTCCCATCTTCAAGTTGGTAAACAAGTATAAAACCGGGTACTGTAAACCAGACGAAATATTGGAGAGAAGAAAAATTGCCTAAGAAAGAACATCTGAAGATTTAATGTTTTAAATAAGGAAACACTGCGTACTGTGATTGGTGTAATTCAGTTGAATAAATAGCGTCTTATCATTGTCAAAGCCAAGTTTTGAAAAAATTCAATATGGCAGTGTTTGGCCCCTTTATTCTTAGATTTGAGACCTAGCCCACGTTGCATGTGAAAAACGCCAGGCGCTACCCTTGATCCTGCCCCCAAGAGATAAAAACCAAGGTGCGACTTCCACAACATGAAATTTTGAATTACAATTAAAACATTATAAAATCTTGCCTGTGTTCAAATGTAGACCTATATGCCACCGCTTTCCCTCCAAATACAATTAAAAATAAGGATTTACAACACCAATAAAGTGGGAATGATTTGTTTATATTGCCACAGTTATCTTATTGTTTCATGTGTGTAAAGTTATCATAAACATGTCGATAGCACATTTAATAACATAATATATATTATATATTACTTGGATTTTAAAAGAAAATGATAGAATTGTTCTTATCTAGGTATTCGAGGATATTATTATGGCTATTCGCTAACTTTGCAAATGTCTTTGTCCTTCGAGATGGACACCAAAACTTTGCTTAATTACTCTCTACCAGAGGCATCCCTGTCTTCTGGTAGAGAGTAATTAAGCAAAGTTTTGGTGAGATAAATTAGTCAGATAACTCCAATCTTTCTCAATGAATAAAATTAGATATTGTAAAAAACAATAGAATATTTTCACAACTCACCCATCAAAGCGTACTTTGACCCCAGTGGAAACTGGCGAACTCCTGGTCAGCGCCAGGACACACGCCAGCGCGAGCACCTTCAACACTACCATCTTGTTCTTGAAGGATTTGGTACCGGACTGGGACTGTCTTGGAACAGGTGCGCTTGGTAGCACTCGGTTCTTATCGGTGGATGTGTCTGGGGTCAATCGGATTACTGTGACGTGACTCGACGGTTCTGCGTTCAAGCTGCCGTAGTTGGGCTGTTTTTTTATCGTGACCACGACGCAGAGATGGATCTTAAAATATTTATTCAGCTACTGATGATTTTTGGTACACATTCAACACTGTTTATACTCTTCTCTCCGTTCCGGTCACACCTTTACTCGTTTTCTTTACATCCCCTTTTGTCTGAATACCGGAATATTCCCTTCTGATTTGTCATAGTGTTTCCTTATTAGGCAATCTCTAAGAGCCTTGTTTTTAATTAGAAATCTGAAATATTATTTGAATTACAACATACTTCGATCGTACACAAAATTCAATTTGCATGTGTTATGCACTTAGCAAAATCGTACAATTTGATTCTGAAATTGAACAATCAGTGAAATTATATGTGGCTGTAACATTTTATATGTTTTTCTTACACAATTCCCACACTTGTTGACTCATAAAGAAGTTCAACTTGCACTCAATAACTCTCTAGGATTTTACTTATTTGATTCCGCTTGCAATAAGTGAAGATGTAAGCCATTAACTTTACAACAATATCCTTTCTTTAAAAAGATCCGTCCTCGAATTCGAAACTTTTACAACATACACTCCTTTTCCTTTATTTAAGGATATTGTAGGCGTTATTTACTGCCTTACATACACTGTGCATTCTTTTGGATAGCAGATAAATCTTAAATGTTCATTGACTAAATTGATTAATATTTACACACGCCATTTAACGAGTGTTTTGGCGGTAAAAACTGAAAAATCGTTTTTTTTTTCTTTCATATTTTTCTTTTACCTGAGCACCACGAACGCCAATTTTATGACGCCACTAAGACCGCATTCACAACGATTGAGCCAGGCTTTACAAATCCTGGGAACTAAATATGGCGGACGTACATGAAAGAAAAACCGCCTAATCTTTTAATAGTCTCTCCGCCTCTCACACGCCTCCACACACGTCGTCCCTGCGGGGTACAGTAATTAAATCTCGGCTCCGTTCGCCATGTGGAAGCTACCTGAGAAAAAGAAAGGAATTGGCTCGTAGAGCAGCTATGAATCGGGATCAAAATCGTAAACACACCCCCACCCCTTCCAGTTCGATCAGGCGTAGGGAACAAGGCCAGCATCTGCATCAGAAGGAACTGCGCCCTCTGACGACACTGCATACGCAAAAATTCTACCCTCCTCCTCCTCCGTCTACCGGGGCTGGGTATCTCCGTGAATATCTCCGTGAATATCTCTGGTGACATTATCTCCGTAGATAGCCGATTCATTGCTGCTCTACGGGCCAATTAATTTCTTTTTCGTCTCCTTTTTGAAAGATAATAGAACAGAAGAGCTTTTTTCCTTCGATTGCCTCCATCCGCCATGCTTTCTTCACCGCGAGTTAAATTGATGAGCATGCGCACTTAATATTTCTCAGGTAGCTTCCGCATGGCGAACGGAGCCGAGATGTAATGACTGTCCCCCCGCAGGGACGACGCGTGGGGAGGCGTGTGAGAGGCGGATAGACTATTAAAAGATTAGGCGGTTTTTCTTTCATGTACGTCTGCCATATTTAGTCCCCAGGATTTGTAAAGCCTGGCTCAATCGTTGTGAATGCGGTCTAAGTACTCTAACACCCCATTTCCATAGATTTTTAGATCGATCTATCCCTGTGGGGAGTCTCACTAGATTACTGTCAGCTTGGCCGGCTTAAGCGTCTGTCCCGTCTACTAAAAGCTGTAAGGGGGTAATTAACTATGGTGCCCGCTCGGCTGACTGCAATTTAGCGTGAACCCCCAGGGAGTTAGGTCGATCTTAAACTTAATCTTTAGATCGATCTAAATCTCTGGGAAAGCACCCTAAAACACCGCCAGCGGCTTTTCTTAAAGGCCTTGGTTCAGATTTTATCGTTTTGAGATTTACAAAATAATGCATATCTTAATGAAAATCTGCAAGTAGTGGCTCATACATGTAACTCCAAAATAAAAGCATTTAAACTAAAATGACGGCACCAGATTGAAGCTCATACACTTGTGGTCAACTATGCCAATTTTCGTGATAAAATCTTGTTCAGGGATATTTTTAATTTGTGTGTGTGTGTGTGTGTGTGTGTGTAATTTTTTATACTTTAAGTCAGCACAAAGGTAGATGCATTATTGAATAATTAGGGACAGGAAAACCCTCATTTTCGGCATCTGGATGATAATAAACACTTACAGTATCCTTAAAGCAAGGCAACGCCTAAATAACTAAGTTTTCGATTATAACTTAAACTGATCATGTTATCGTTTTCGTTGAATGTATAAACGCCATTTACAGTGAAAATCAACCCATTTTTTGACCCTTTTCTGCGTGCATGCCGTCGGTTTTTAAGAAAATCATTGCTTAAGGCAACAATGTTTTTATTAATATTATATTCCTTTATTTGCTTAAGCGTTTTAACGCCAAGCAATCCGACTGTTTCATCGAAAAAAAAGCAAGCATGAATATCTTTTTAAATATAAGAAACCAGAATATTATGAATATATTAATAAGCTATAGACTTGGAAGTGCACAAGAAGTTTAACTGTTTCGCTAATAAACATTATGAAAGACAATGCAGGAAGTTAGTAACGGGGGAGACCGGGAGGTGATGATTCTGCATGATTCCAAGTACTAGCATGTGTCATAGTAGATCCTGTTATGACATTATTGAAGTGGAAAGCAGGAAGTTAGCAACCGGGAAAAATGAACGTTATTTTGTTTGATTCCAAGTACTAGTACATAACGTGTCAGAGTAGATCCTGTTTTGATGACATAATTAAATGGGTTATATATACATATATAATACAGCAGATAACCACGCTGTTTAGCGATGACACCAGCGTCAGAGGGATTGTTCAGGCAATATTAAAATGTTTGACGACCGCAGTCGGTTCTTATTTCAGTGTTTTGCATCTATTTCTTTCAAATTGAAAAAATACAGAGTATATTAGTTTGGTAAGTGGGGCATACATTTCAACCCCTCCCCCCTCCCCAAAAAAGCTTGATGCTGTTGATTTCATGCTTTTAAAATTGGCCATGCTGTGGATTTAACTTTTGCAGCCTCCCCCCCCCCCCCCAAACACACACAAAACACCTAGCGCTGCTGAATTTAGCTGCTATAGCTTGTAAAACTTCTTATATATACATATATTTCGTCTCTCATTCCTGTATTCATAGAGAAACCGCTTGTTAACCGAATTGTTAATTTTGTCAGTTAGTGATTCTCTCGTGGTTTTGATATGATAGTATCCAGATGTGTTGTCCCCATTAGCAAAAATGGAGATCAGCTCACAGGGTACCGGTACTTTTTAAAAAATACTCTTTTTTAGCATTATAGCGGTAACTCTTCTTCTGCAGGAATACTCCATGATATGCACACTGTCTCAGCGCGAAGACGGTCTGAGAACGTGACATCGGGTCGTTGTCTTCGTCGCATTGGAAGAGCATGGGTAACGGATTATAGGAGGATTATAATGTTAGATATGAATCAATGTGTGGACGTTTATAGAAAATGTCTATTTGTGAATTGGTAACACTACCAGTATGGCGAGACTGGTTGTTGGTTTCAAAGTCCAAGTACCACCCTGGGTTTTAGAAATTATTAAAAACCAAACTCTTTTACAGTATCATTTCCAGTAGCACTCTGAGTTTCAGATATCACTAGAGGTTTACATCTTTAAATTTGCATTCAGTTACTGGAATAAGGAGAGGCATGATGCAATAATACAATGATTCAATAAGTTTCCAGTAATCTCATGGTGACCTCCAAGGGCAAGCTGAATAAAAAATGGTTTTGCAGGTTTTGCACGGTCTATCTGTGTTAAATGCACCTTTTTGATTGGACTAAACTGTAGGTGGCATTTAAGTGAAATATTATCTCAATTGAGGGCACCACTGTCCGCTTTTATTGTGACCTTACTGAAGACGTAGGAGTGCAGCACACATGTTCTATACACTGTAGGTTGAGCATATTCATGCTCAGTTTAGGAAGTAACCTTGTGTTTTATGTATATGCAGATGTATGTGGCTAGTGCATGTACGAAATGTATTTTAACATCATATTATGTATTATTATAGAATGCTTATTATAAAATCCAGATGTACACGTATAAATCTCTAGGAAATTGCCACATCTATAAAGTTACACCCAATCATGCTTATCCTTGAGGGCATTTAATAATCACATGAACAGCAGATTAAAATTACCAGGGCATGTGTTATACAAGGTATTTAACTAAAACCAGCGCTTTGCACAGCAGGCCTTTTTCACATCAGATTTGAAGATGTATGAAGTACAAGCAGCAATATGTATTGTATGCCTGGTTTTGAGTGGATATGGCAATGGAGAGTGTGCAGGTAGTGTATATTTTACTTTTATAAAAGCAGTAGTGAACACATAGATTGCCCGTGCTTATATCCCCAAATGCAAGTCACACCCTTTTAAAATAGGCCCTAATGAATCAAAGTTTAGATTTGTCTTGCATGATGAAACTAATGCGTATGATCTTTTACTCAGCCTGAGCCAAATGAAGCAGGAAGTGGTCCTAAAACATGTGTATACATACCTAGGGATGTTATATGACCGTGGCGATATGATGATCACTGTAGCCTGTCCATTTAGCCAATCTTCAGTGAAGATCGAGGGCAACCTCGAGCCGCTACCCCAAAGATATCTCGCTTCACTCGACATTTCTGCGGTCTCTCGGAAAACTCGGATTTAACCTCGATGTAGTCTAGAATTCACGACTACATCTTGGTTAAATCAGTCGAGGTCTCTTAAATGCTGAAAGCTAAAGACAGAGTGATCATGTGACCTTCTTAGCATCAAGAGAATAGTGACGTTGCTTTCGTTATACTGTATACCTAGCAGTAGAATTTAAAATCTCTCACACTCTTAAAAATAAGCATAAACTTTTCACGTTTAACAATTATTATGTATAATTTTATTACACTAAGTCATATCATATGGGTATATATGGTTTGAAAACTGGAACCCGTTTTTATTTAAGCCACACGTGCATACAAATTATTTGTAAATCTATAACTTTTTAACGAGGGTTGTGTTATTCACCTTTTGTTTTTAAGCTGTTCATTCTTCCTCTTTATCAGATATATCGGTAAAAATCAAATGCATTCCCCCTTTGAACTTGTAATTACATGTAGCACATGAATGCTCTGAAAACCAGCACATGTATATTCCGAAACCCTCGTAGTAAAAAAAATGTCACCAAAACGTAGAATTATTACTCCTGTGGACTTGAAATAAACATCCGTTTGATTTTGAATATATTCCGTAACCGCCTCGTCGTCAGAAGTAACAATAAAAACTAGAATTGTTACTCCCGTTAACTTGTAATAAACATCCGTCTGATTTTAACTATATTCCGAAACTTCCTCGTTGTCAGAAATATCACCAAAAAGTAGATTTCTTTCTCCTTTGGCTTTGCACTTGTGAAAAATTAGTTTGTTTATCAGAAATGTCACTAAAAAGTAGAGGTTTTGTCTGGGGACCTTTTATTCCGCAGCAGTCCCAGCTAGGTGAGGCTCAGCTGAGACGCGCATGGCCAGTGTCGACGGTTGATTAATTACTTTTCAAGCCAGTTGATCGTCAACGACAAGCATTTAGCAAAAATTGATCAAATTGGTCAGACATTACATAAGAATTTGGCAGGAGGTGACCAGCGCACGCGGACGAGTTTATTCCATATAACATCTTTAGAGCGTGATATAGGGTCACTTTATTCGGTTTTAGGGGTGTTTTAAGGTGAAATTACTATATTTGTTCTCGGTATGTATGTCAAATAATACACTGTCACCCTCTCGCGATATATGCCATGAACACCTCTCGCTGACGCTCGAGGTGTTATGGCATATGTCGCTCGGGTGACAGTTTATTATCTCACACATAAATATATATACATCTTTATAGCTTCAGACCAAATTTCCTGCACGTGTTCATGCCCATCTGTGACCCCGAAGGTTGTGGCCTTCTCAGTTATGAGGACCACCTCCATGGGACCTTTTAATGTCGACACCATCATCAGCTTTGATCGCATACTATCTAATACAGGCGGTGGCTTTAACCAGCAGACCTCTAAGTTCACAGCTCCACAGTCAGGCACCTATGTTCTGTCCATGTCTGTGAGTTCTACAGGCAGTGGGTTCTCATGGGTACGGATGTACAAGAACACTGAGAACCTTGTGTCTGTACATGCATACGGCGGGCCTCATGATATGGCATCTAACCAAGTGATTGTGCCGCTGAAGGAAGGGGATACAGTATGGCTGGATTTGGCAGCTACTGCGACTATATACGGTCAAGGTGGTCCGAGAATTTACAATACCTTTTCTGGGTTCAAACTTTAAAAGGTTCCATCAAAGAAATCCATTTCTAAGAATACCGGTACATGTACCATACATTTACAGACAGGCATGGCTATTATCTATTAATACTTTTAATTCAATCTGACTGCACCTTTATCAACATTGAATATTGTAATTATTAGAGATTATTTTGAAATCCACGGCTATATATAAGCACAGGAAAGTGTGCAAATAAAGAGACTTAAATTTATAGCAAAGATTTTCACAGGATAAAACGCACTTGGTGTGTTAATGTTTCATTTGGTCATGGGTACATGTTCTGCCATTAGTATATATCGCTCCATTAAAAGCTAGCTCCGTTAAAGAATGAAAGTCAAATGTCGTTTTTTTGAGAAATATATAATCTCTGGATCCATTTTTTAAAATCCTGCTCTAAATATTCTGTTAACAAAGTAATGCATCTGTATTTACCCTAAATTGGAGGTCCCTTTTTCAACCACTTCCAAATTAAGAAAGTTCAGAAAACGTATTTTAACAGCCTGCTGCAAGTGTACATTGTACGTGCTCAAAACATTGCCTATTCATTCGACCGCTATGCATAATTTGTATTGGTTAGGCGCCAAGACCGCCATGCCTTGATTTTACTACATTGCATACCGCTCTGAAAACAGTAGCCTATGATCAAAATGGCGCTGCATGCATATTTCTTCTCTTTCTTACAATAATTTTTTTAAATTTCGTGTAGAATATTCTTTTCATGCATTTATTGCAGCCCCGTTGTTCAACATTTAATTCTGAAGTTAATTCTAATTAAAATGAAACAAAATTATAAGAGAAAGGTATCAGCCCATTTAAACCTGTTCCAAATTTTTAAAAAGTCAGATCAAACAAGAACCAAACCTAATCCAATTCAAGCTATCGGAAGTATGCAATACCAATCTCAAATGAAACCAGAAACAAAAACACTGAAAAACACACGAATATTTATAGAAAATGAAATCCGCAACCGTTTTTTTTTTTTTTTTTTTAATTCTTGCAATTCCAATGTTCTATAAATTTTTGCCATAACGACATTTTCGTTTGAACGACAGTTACAAAAAAAAATTAACAAAATGCAGCATGGTCAATAACAAAAAAAAAACTTTATTGAGTTGAAATTTAAAAGCATGTATTTCGAAAAGCTGCCCTCACAAAAGTAGGTCAGCACCGGCTTTGTACAAAACCAATTACCCAGACAATTACTTTCTTTTAAAGGTACATATAACTATATAAAAGACGGATAAGTAATTTTGACAGCACTTCAAGTTATTCATATAGGGCTAATGGTTCACCAGCTTTAAACAGTCTTAAAATCGAGTGCAAAGATCGACCAGAGACCATTTAGTTGTTTGGGTCATATCCTGGTGGGTATTTGAAGTCAGCAGGCAGCGTTCCACCGCAGGTAGGCCGCTTACAGCATTTCCCCGGAAGTGGGGGTTGGAGAGTACATCCGGTGTGAAGGTAGCCTCCCCAGTCACTGTCAGGGATACATCTGTGGGAAAAATAAATGACAAAATGTCCACTACAACCGTTTTAGGTAAAATTGTTTACACTGCTTCATTTTCTTTACTTGAATCTTTTTATTCATTGATGCTTTTATTACCTGATCATTAATTAGGCCTATCATTGATCATACCGGTATATCTGCACAATTTATCTTTATATCCTTAATTGCCTTTTCATATAATTTTTATTGATGACATTTTATATAATATTTTCAGAAATTCTATGATGCCGCTTTAAGGTACACTCCATGGGTTTGAAAATCCCCCAAATGCTAATTTTTGCTATTCACAGCTTCTTAAAAAAACTTACATACACATTTAAAACGATTTCACCCCTTAAATATTTTTTCGGGAACGTAACTGATGTTGATACTTCCAAGGAAGATGGTCGCTAGTAATGACTGGCCAGTTATTTTAAACTAAATCAACCATAAATTTAATAAATGGTCGAATCCAAAAAAGAGAGGGATAGAAAAGTAATTGGTCAGTACGAGAAAATTGCTCATTTCCTTGGGAAGATCCATTTTGGAGAGGCAATCCCATGGAGCTGCCCTTTAAGGACAGTGGCAATCAATTATTAGCTCCGTCGATGAAACCCTCCGTCAGTAAATTTTTAATCAAAATTATTTGCCCACAGAGTATTCATCACGCACCAAAAGTTTTGTTCGTAGTGACTGGTCGATTGTAGGTGTGTACTTACAGGTCGGTGCAGCTGACCAGGTTGCTGACGACATCAAAACAGAGACAGATCTGACAGCCGCGTCTGAAGGGCACATTGTGAGCTACGGCCTCCCCGTGATAGTCGCACTCCGTGCGTGCTGAACCGGACACTAATGGAAAACAGTAGAACGTACACACACGTGCCATTGAAAAGTTGAAAAGTTTTCCGCCTGATCCCCCAAAAGGTATTGCACTGTTCTCCATATTTTGTTTGTTATGAATGCAACATTGTTTCTTGGTTCAATGTAAAATTTCGACTTAATATTTCATATGTGTGCAGAACTTTACTGCTTTACATGATCAAATTAAACTCTAAATTCGTCCTCTAAGTTAAAAACAAACATCAATATGTGAAGCTTCAGCCTGCTGGAGACTAAGGTAATTACCTGTGGTGGTGGCGGGGGCAGGTGTTGGTAACCTAGGTGTTGACTGAGGCACCACGACGGGAGGCAGGCGTGTAGCTGGGGGCACAGTGCCTTGTGGGATACCGACCACGACGTCTGGAGAGAAGACCAAATCCACGTTCTAGCTTCTTTTGTTGGCGACTTTTTTAAATTTTTTAAACATATCTATTACTCCACTCATCTATTCATTTTCATATCTTTTTATTTTGCATGTATGCAAACTATACATGTAAAACTTGCTGCTGCATAAGAAAAAGGTTAATGTTTTCCAAATGAAATAAAATAATCCAAATAAATTAGTCAGACTATATTAATCAGAACTAGTTACGCCTCATATCCAACCTTTACAACAGCCAATACCGTCAACTTACCGCAGTACCCACAATACCTTGCGCAGTTAGACTTGCCCCAGTCAAGGTAATCGCCTACGCATGCATTTTTTCCGTATCGGGCGCAGTCGCTGATCTTATTTGTACAGAAAGCATCATGTATTCCAGCTAAATAATAATATAATATAATATAATATAATATAATATAATATAATATAATATAATATAAACTGCATCACATATTGCCCAATTCGCTGGGACCTACCGTATATTGTTCAATGCATAAAACAGCAAATTCCAGATTTTTATACTCTCCTGCTAAAAATGATGTACCAGTGTTCTTAATTTATAAAGACAAAGACGAAAGCCGTCTTAAAGTTGCCTATACTTTCGAAGGTATAGACTCCACTTACAGTGACAATTAGCCCACTTTGTATCCTTGTCGTAGTTATAAGTTGTGGCGCACCAGGGACGCACGTGACCGGCCACGATGCACGTGGTGTAGTTCTCGCCGCGGTAATAAAACGGGAACACGCACGGTTCGCCTTTAGAGTTTCCACCGATTGTGGCTAAAAAACGAAGAAAAACACCCTTGTATTGAAACACTGAGGATGATCATATCTATTCGTGTGGGCCCTTTCTTGCGAAAGACATTGTAAGCTTTAATGAAGATGCCCTTACAAACACTACAACCAGTAGCATATATGTGAACATTCGACACTGCAAGGTATAAGTATAGAAAGTATTTTGTCCCGTACCTCATCCTGGTTAAGCTATTCTGCTGCCAGAATTAAAATTAACACAATGAAAGGTGTTTGTGCGATTCACTCACCTCAATGGAAATTGAAGCCAACAATTTGCTTTGGGAGTACCATTTAATATTTATCATGTGTCGCATTTTGGAAAACAGCTTCTATATAGAACTTCGTATGTTTCTGATATTTCTGATATTACTTGTACTATACTTACGGCAGTAGCCACAAAACTTGGGGCAGTTCTTCCTAGCCCAGGGGACGTAAGGCTGCCTGCAGGAATATTCCTGGTAGTTCGGACAGTTGGATAACTTATCGTAACAAAGAGGCTCTTTCTCTGAATGCAAAAAAGATCCAAATGAATCGCGAGCACATTGGCTTTATAAACTATTGCTACATTATTGCTAGCATAGGACTATCTTCAAAATATAAGCAAAATTCAAAATCATTTTATATCAACTTAAGTCTAAAGGCATTGTGTAGTCTCTGATGTTTTCTTAGTTAATGTCTGGCAAAAAATAACATTTCTTCATTTTTGCTGCATTTACCTCTTGCCTTCCTTTGATGGAACCGTTACAATCCACGAGGTAAGAATGGAATTGATTGTGCCTATTGTAGTTGTTTTGTAGTTTTATCTAAATAATATGCATTCATTATTTCAATTCCAAAATGTTCAAGTCACTGACTAAAATATTTTGCGATATTGTTGTTGCTGCTGATAGCAACCAGCGTAATCAGTCAAAACCGATATATAAAGTAGCAATCACTACATGTGTGTATACGCCCAATCCACATACCGTATATAGGTGTCAGAGTATAGCCCGGACCATCTGGTGCCTCGGTGGTCACTACAGGACCACTGGTCACCTGGCTGACCTGGGGCTTGAAGCCACCGTTGTAGATCACAAAGCCGTTGACAAGGTTGAGGACCTGCGGAAGACACAAATATTGTCTTGATTCTTGGTTCGCGGGGTGGCCATGAGAATTACATATATAACAAAAGTGCGTCACAGCAAAGTGAATACACTGTAAACCAGCTAATAGAAAAGGAAAGCAGATAAGCAGATACATGCACCGGATTTTGACAGACAGTCATTTAGTTAAGCAAAACCCGTACTATAATCATAATGTTGTATAGGTAGTATATATCGCAACTATTCCATGGAATAATAGTGTTCTGTAACAACAATCAAAGCGTATTTATTCTCAATTAACTAACAAATAGCCGATTTTGCAGAAATGCCTGATCATCCATTTGATGAAAGAGGAATTTCCATTGCTATGCATTAAATTAAGTAATTATGGTTAGATAGCCCCATCTACTCCCTAGCATCGACTAACAAAGACATACCTGTTTTGACGAGCTGATGACGGAGTTCACTGGGCCGTTACATTGTAGAGCAGGACAACACTGGCCAGGCACGTCCACCAGAGAGCACACGGACGGGAGGTCGCGGTAAATGTCGCACCTGTTGATATAAACGGAAAAAAGTTAACTAATTATTAGCAATATAGTAGTACATGTACAGTACTTGTTATGATTTCGCACCTGTGAAACTTTGTATACAAAACATCGCCAAAACAGTGCCTGTGAACATAACTGGAACGTTGTATACGAATATTCACATTTTAGCGGATCCAAGATTTTGGAGGAGCAGTAGGACAGAAAAGTTACCTTAGTACTAGGACAGAAAAGTTACCTTAGTTAAAAACCCAAAATAGCTGACTATTGTAAGTAAAACTGCCACCAGAACTTACTTGCTCATGAAGAGCATCTTATGCTTTTATCGCTTTGCCTCCATTTCCTTTTAAACATTGTTTAAAAAAACTTACTTGCTCCTGCACATGACAAGACCAGACGTCGCGTTCAAGCACCTGCAGTCATAGTCACATCCGTCTTCCCAGCTCTCGCCCTCGTTATATGTCTGACCTTTATACCGACACTGCTCTAAACGTGAACGACACATGGCAAATGACATTAAGTGCTTAAAGTTTGGTTTTCATAATATTTCACTTTATCGTTAATTTCGGCTGACCTCCAGAACTACACACCCAAAAAAATTATATACATATTCAGAAAGTAATATTTTTATTTGCATTTAGCAATGTTACTTTTCTTTCTAAGAAGCAATTAATTTACACTAATGCTTTCATTAATTTTATTGTGGTGTATCAAGTACACGCGTATTAAGGTTTTTTGAAGAAGTAATGAAGAAAGTATTCAATGCCTACTGAACCAGTTGCACACGGGTCTGGGACAACATTCACCAGGCGGCACTTCCAGTCTACAGCCCGGCTGCAAGCTCTTGTAGTCCATACATCTGGAAGGGAACGTTAAGAGCATATACATGTATATATATATATAACTACTGTTAAATTGCGGGGAGTTGAACGGAATCGGGATGTGTAACGGCCATATTAGAATTGTACAGTGTGCTTTTAAACCTCTATTATATTAAAGTGCACTGACTGTATAGGAGCGGTACAGTGGCGCCACATATAGTGATGCCACCTATAGACGTACTTAGTAGTGCCGCCACTGTATAAAATATTCAAAATAGTACATGTGGCCCTGTGTAGCATGAAACTATCCATCTGTAATTATGTTGATATATATTATTAATTTAAAATATTCTCAAAAAGCACTGCTCTTAAATAAAACCTTAATGGTAATGTTCACTGGCTAAAATAACTTATTTCATTTTCAGTGTTTGCCTTTGGACCAGCTTCTCTTCCCGATCATTGTGTACAGTAGTTTTCGTATACAAATTTCTAGAGAAATCCCATTAGTTTGCTACTCACTTGCTGTAGCAGAAGGTGGCATTGACTACAGACATGGCACAGTAACAGATCTCTGAGCACCCGTCATTCCACTGCTCTCCGTGTTTGTACGCCTTACCCTTGTACACACACGAGTTCCAGTCACGATCTGGTGAAAATTTGATGATAAAACAATGAAAACGTAAAATTCTAAATACTTGCACGATTTCCAATTTTGTACACGTGGCTTTCAAATTGTACGACGCGGTTTGGAGACTTACGATATATTAAAGCACATTCTTTCTCATTGTGATTTTTGTAATTGTTAATTACCCTTAGGTGGGTCTTCTAGCTGATACCGTGGATATAAATCCATGTAATTGTACAAAGTGCGTTTTATCCATTTTTTTAAAAACAGAAATGCCATTCTTTTCTTGTTTACATAATACGTTAAACAGACAAATGAAAAATACGCATAAACGCACAAATACAGATAAAACTATACTTTTGGTAATTTCACCATACCTGAGCACGTGGGCCCGACCCACCCCGGAGTGCAAGTCTTCCCAGGGCAGTGCCCCATCTCTTTGTTGCAGGGAACCCCGCCGTCACAGTGACACGTGTAGGAGCAGTCAGGACCGAAGGTACCGTCCAAACACTCTGAAGCAATTAAGACTTCAATACTTAAGAAATCAAATGGAGTATGCACATGTAGAAATAAACAGTATAATGCGCCGTTATATAATCTCTTTGCTATTCTTTTATTCAATACGAAACATTTTTAATAAAATGTCATACCATACAAACCGTCCCCAGCATGAAATAGTAACGTAAATATTAAATTTACGTTATATTTAAAAGATTGAAAATATTGATTTTTTCATGTAACGTAATGTCATCAGGTTTTTAATCTTTCCGTTGCTAGAAATTTTAGTTACATAATATTCATTCTTGTCTTTTTTGGATAATTTTGACGACAGCTGGTTAACTTAAACATGTGCTTCAAATTTAATATTTTATTATCTTAGGTAGCTTTTACATGAGCAATCTGTACATTTCTTCTCACCCTGTTGGCAGTCCGAACCCGTACGTCCCGCCTTGCAACCAGTGGGACACATCCCAGTCACGTGATGACAACTTCCGCCCAAGGCGCACTGACATTGCTTGGAACACGCCTGACCAAACGAACCTTCTGGACATTCTATAAAGAAATTGGGAGTATTTAGAGAAAAAAAAGCACACACACAAGATACGAAAGGCATCTAACTAAAATGGTGCTGGTATATAGTTCGCCTTGTCACAGCATTCTCTGGTCATTTGAGCCGAAGATGAAATGGTGGTTTCACAAAGAATCTTAAGCTTAAAATTTGGTTTCAACATCAAAACCGAAACTAAATTTATATCGATCTAAAACATAGATCACTTTTATGGTTTAATGTTTAGACCATTGTTTGGTCTAGCTGTGTGTTATTTGTTAAAAGCGGCATACAGAACTGGAGGGCGGAAGGATGGTTACACTGTACGTGAACGGATACATGTTACATGTAGCCTATGATAAAAATTATCATGACGAAACAATAAAAAAAGAAGAGTAAAGTACTTGTTTGACAGTCCTGTCCCTGGTATCCATCTTGACACGCGTTGTCACGACAGTTCCCAGTGACGGGGTCACATGAGGCCAGATCTCTGCAGCGACAGAACGAAGTACAGTCGGCTCCGAATTTTCCAGGAGGGCACCCAGCAGCTAAAGAGAAAAATATACAGTACATTTTTGGTTTAATACAGGCACACAGAGAGCAATGATACTTTATGCTACTAGATTATTAAATTTAACCCCAGACCAAAATTTCTGGTCAACGCAACCCAACGCAATACAACGCCTAAGAATCATAAAGTGCATGTGCAGAAACTTGGCGGAGTAACTCATTTTCGTACATATGAACTTCATTTCGTGATGATCGAAATATTTCAAAGATTTAAAACTGACATGACGACTGAAAACCCTGATGTCATTAATGGCACACGTTATTGTGGTCAAGTCTTAGGCTAATGGTCGAAAGCTCTCCGAACAGCCTTTCAATTTTTTTAAATCTCAAGTATCGGTTTAATGCTTAAAATTCTCCTATCGTAACCTACTTACGTGTGGCTGTCTTCACTTGACAGGTGGGTCCACTCCATCCACGTGCGCATTGCCCTGAAGGACACGTCCCACGGACCACGTGACAGGCTGCGTCATTCTCGCAGTGACAACTTCCGGTGCAGTTCTCGCCAAAAGTACCAGGAGCGCATGCTGAGGGAAAAGTGCGAATATTACATATATGAAAAGAATATGAAAGTCGTATGTTTTGCTTTTACCGTTTACCTTGCTACAAGTACTATTTTAAATAATATTGCATATATTAAATATAATATGAAAAAGTATTCATTTAAAATATGAGATCAAACTTTTTTAATGTCCGGAAAAAGTAAAAAACGAATGTTGTGACACTGCAAACTGGAGCTTTAGAGACTACTGGAAACTGATGGACAGAGACTTGAACATTGTACGTGCATATAACACAGGGCAGTTTCCAGATTAACTCATAAACTCTGGGTGCGATCAGTCTTACCTTGGTCACACTGGGGAGGGTTGGAGTAGCCAGGGGCACAGCTGTTCGGACACTGTCCAGTCACCGGGTCACACACTGACCCCCGGGCACAGGGGGGACACCGATTGGTACAGCTGGGGGGACCCCACGTGCCTGCGTTGCATTCTGGGTAATAAATAGCTTATTTTACAGGTCATATTAAATGTGGTAATGTTTTAAAAGGATTCATGCACGAAAAAGCACCCACAAACACAAAATACATGTATGCCAGAATCAAATCCTAAGATATCAATATTCATAAATGATAACGCGGGATAACCCATTCTTTTCTACATGTATCTAACAGTTACTAAACACCATACAGATAAACAACGTGCCTAGCCTTATCTCGAGGTGTTATCTCCAGTGTCTACCTACGTATAGTTAACGGCGTCTGGATATTCGTGACCGTCTTTCCGCCATCTGTAGACAGTCCCACGTTGGTGACACCGGGGTTCAGGTTGGGAGGGACGACACACGACACTCGCAGCACGCTCTCGAATGAGCCTGTCACCTGAACGCTGCCAAACTGACAACGAATATCCATGGATTTCTTGAAGCAGGGACCGGAGATGAAAATGACGTCACCGCCCTTCAGCTGGACTTTGTTTGGGTTTAAGGAAATGTCGGCCTTGCCTGGAACAGTTCATAATGTTACGTACCTTATCTTAAGATATGAATAGTGTTGAAATTTCTAAACCATACGCAGTTTACTTCCACACTTATTATACACCTGAAAATACTTTGCAAAACAGGTTGTATCTTTTTATAAGAAGCCTCGTTTTATAAAAATGACGAAACACTAACCATTACTACAAGATCAAAAGTTTTATTATTCGCTGCCAAAAAATAGCTGTAAATATCTTACATCAATTAAACATGGTTTATCAAAAAAAGAAACAATTATGTCTAAGACCGAGAAATTGTTGGCTATAGTGGACAATTGCTGACCTATCCTGAACTTAAGTCGACTAAAATGTTTTGGATTTAAACTACACAACTTGAAGACCGAATATTTGCTCCAAAGACAAAGCCAAACTTCTATCTAATGTTGTTATGGTGAAGCCGTCTAACGGCGCCATTTTATCCTCTATAATATATCTTATTGAATCGTTCAAATATACCCCGAGGGTCCACTGGACACTCCCCACTATTATCACCATACCCAACTGTATTCAGGACACGAAGCATGCTTATAAAAATGGCGAGTTTCCAGTGACATCTGAACCTCAGGGTGTTCTCCCCTGCGAAAATTTGTCTCATTTAACGCTCACGTACAGTTCTCAATCTGTCATAGAGCATAATTCTCTGAAAAATGTTCGTAATCTGTTCTAAGACATTCTGAAGGACTTCCCAAAAACAGTTCTCGAACTGTTACATTCTTTACAGAACAACATTATCACTGTAAAAAAATACACCAAATGTTCTAGAATAGATTGAGAACCGTAAGTGAACGTTAATTTTCGCAGGGGCAAAGACTCTGACTTACCGTTGAGGTTGCACTCGGGGTCCTTGATGTCAAGGTCATCGGTCCTGAACACCCATTTTCCTGGCTGACCCACGTTACTCATGGACCCGATGTTAATGATGGCCCCGGTACGGGACCCATTCACGGCGTAGTAGTTCTTCCCGTCCCCGGCATTGAAGCCAACCTGTTATAACGATCGGATAATAATTTTCTTTTAATTAATTTATTAATTATTTTATTTCTTCATTTATGTAGATGTCGGCATTGAAGTCAACCTGTTGGAACCATTGGATATTTTTTCTTTTAATTAACTTATCAATTACTTTTATTTATTTATGTAAGTATTGGCATTGAATCAAACCTGTTAGAGCGATCTGATATTCATTTTCTTTTAATCAATCAATCAATTAATTAATCAGATATCGATTTCAAATATTCATACATTTGTTCCTTCATTAACCTTTTTATTTATTTGTTTACATCTTCATTCTTTTATTCAGTTATTTATTTATTTATTTTATTTATCTATTTACAGTATTTATACATTAATTTATTCATTCATCAACTTTCAATCTTAGGCTCATCTCGAGTAACCAGCCCCTGGTAACGGTGGATGCACTGATGAAAGCTACATATGTTGCTATGGTTACCTGAGCAGCTACTCCGTTCAGCCCGTCTTGGGTTCCTCCACTGGCAGTTCCGGTTGTCCAGTGGATTTCATTGTACAGGAAGATGACGAAAGAACTTCTGCCGTCAGTGACCATGATGGACTGGAACGTATTTCTCTGAAATAAAAAAAAAATGTATGAAAATATCTTTATTTATTGTGTGCTTAAAAAGGCCTGCGCCATGTTTCAAGGCATTCACATTTATTAGACTTTGAGGTAAAGTGGCGACATTTTAAATTATTAACAGTGGGATAGAGCAGGGATCGGAAGGGTTGGGATCGGGAGGGGATGGGGCAATTGTGTTCCAAACCTCTACGCACACCGTTTTACCTACCTGTTCCACACACAGATAGGCCTCTTACTCCTATCTGTTTAATATCTACATTGGAATCCGTGATATGGTAGAAAAAAGATTAAGGTTATTTAAAGGGCTGTATACATGAAGATATGCGGACTGCACAAACTGATTTTGTTCTAAGATGTATGGGGTATATGCAGTACTTATCTACATGAAGTGAATTTTTTTTCTCAATCGGTCCTTGCATATGCGTCTTTAAAATAAGCTCATGAAAAGCAAACAAAGAAAAAGGTGATATCGACGTTGGCCTAACAACAGCTTCTAGAGATGTGTCAACATGAGAGAAAATTAACAAAATTTAACTTCTCGTTCGAAGTTTAAGAAAAAACACTCAGAATTATATACCGAGGTGGCGTTGTTCCCGCCATAGTACGTGACGTCATACCAGGTTGTAATGTACAGCGACCTGGCCGTAAAGTCCATGTGGGTCAAGAAGATGTCCTGGATCTCTTTACTGGCCCTCAGCAGGAGAGCCGGATCTGTAATATATTGTGACAAAAGTTTCCAAATGTATTATATATTGTATAATAATCATTTATTTAATTATGAAAATTACGTTAGACACTGTATTTATTATACAACTATGGACTAATTGTTACATCAAAATTTGGCTCCAGAGAAAGCATGTGGTTGGCGAGGTGATCAATGTGCGCCTGCGCTAATGACTAAAGATGGCGCTGCAGTCCCAGTGCCAGTTCGCATTTTGACCAATCACTGCTGGACAGTAAGGTGCAATAATAGAAATCCTGCTTTTAGTACAACTTTTATATAATCAGACCGAATATGCTGAGATTATTAAGGGGAGTGTCTATGTAGCGTATAGGCTCTACTACGTTTTATTCGTCCAAGCTTTTCTGAGTTTGTTTTAAATTGGTTTCAACGCGCGAGAGCGATGCTGTATCTGTTAAATACACGCGGTCATATCATTTTTCTGATTCTGATGTGACGCAAAAACTACCTCAGTGACGTACAGTATTTACATGTAGTTACAATTAATTATAATACTCTTTTCTTGAAACTTCTCTAACCTTGCGTCTCTCTGAAGTAGATCTGGCCCCAGTTTCTGGTGTCTACGTCAGCCCAAAATGGCGTCAACATGGTGTCGTTGAGCGGGAAGGCCTCGGGGGTATACTGCCTGATACCTTTCTTGAAGGACACGGCGCCGTTTGTGTTCACCTGCAACGTAAGAGCAATATTGCTTGTGTTTTCTTTTGGTTGTTGGTGTATTGGCAGCTGCCCATCTTTAATATTATTATTATTATTATTATTATCTTCCCTTTTACATTTATTCAATTATTTCTTAATTTAATTTAATTTAATTTTTTTCTTTCAATTAATAGGTAAATGGTATGGTGATTATTTTCTTTCTGCTAATAGTATTATATTATAATTAGTGAACTGAGTAGTTAGAAATTATGAGATCTTTTGGACATTTTATAAAATGGAAATTGAAATGATATCAATTTCCAGAGTGGTCAATCCAAGAGCCTTATCCATCAAAGGCAAAACTGTCTGTTCTCTGTAGGTAAAAATGGTTGCTTTTTGTCAATTTTCAATGTTCATTTTTTTACAGTTTCATAATTCGATTTTGCTAGATTTCAAACAGTATAAGGTTGGTCTTGCAATGCAGTATAATCTTTATGGCGATAACTGTCAATTGCAAATAAATCATAATTAGCATCGTGCAAAACCGTAGAAAATGGGCGTGAAATAAGCCGACTTTTGTATAGCAACAATCAATAAGAGGGCCCCCGAAAAACATTATATCTACTTACGTAAAGGCTCTGGTACACACCGCTAAAGAACGGATACGGCACTTTTAATTTCAAGGGTCCATCAAACTGATCATCATTTCTCCGTGTCTGATTACGGTCTCCGTTTTTCAATCCGTACGGATAGAAATCCTTCAACTGAATCATGGCATAGGCATGGTTAAAGAATAAAGCAAACGCCAACAGAAGAGTTCGCGCCATGACTGCCTCTTTCCTTGGCGTTCTCTTCAGCAAAGATAAAATATGTAGTGGTTTAAACTACAACGTGACTCTCCTTATCTTCTCAGCTGTTTGAAATGCATGGTACCGACGGTCTCAATTTTTGAGGGGTGCTTTCAAAACGCAGTTGATTAGGAGAAAGGTATCTTCGAAAGGAGTTGACATTTTCATGGAACGTTTGGGACTTCCAGCTAAACGACTAACAAGCTTGTATGGGGTTTGCTTGAAATAAGAGAAATTCAAGTTTGAACTTATTCCAATAAAATTTTTGATGGAAATCATCTTGATTTGTTAAAATTTGGGAAAAGATTTGAGATTTTCCCCTAGTCACTAACACACTTTTTAAGGGAGATAGGTACGTGTACGTGTGCCAAATATAGTTGCAGGTTAAAAAGCTATCTAAAATGTCTTTGCAATAGAAACCTGACAAACGATAAGCGCCTTAGCTGTCCTTCAACCTATTAAAAAAGCCGCCCAAATCGCTTGGAGACAGAAAAAGTTAGTTTCAAGGCCACATAAGACTAAATATACTATGCCAAGCCGGGCAACTATTTTAGCAAACACTGAAAACAAGGGACCGTATACGCGTAAATTTATTTACTTAAACTGGTTTATCTCCCCCCCCCCAAAAAAAAAAAATTTTTTTTTTTTTTTCTGGAGTAGAATATGTGAAAAATAATGTCACTTTAGTACATTACAGAAACCGACCCTCACTTTCACTTGAACTACCCGCTTTAACTTAAATGCAATGAAATCATATGTAAATTACAAAAACAGAAAATCAGGTGCTGGGGTCATCCTTCAAAGCAGTTTGATCTTGCTCTGTTCTTCAGTGGATAACAGATTATCAAAAGTCTCCTGTCTTCATAGACACGACTTGGGCCTCAATTGATTCCAAAAGGTCGCAGGTGTCGTGAGAGAGATGGTACAGTAACTACACCTGTTAGAAGAGCCGTGTATCTACAACCAAGGAGGGATCCACTGATAAGAAATACAGTGCCATATTGTGAGTGCACTTCACAGTAAAGGGAATCATACTTTTCTTTACTTATACCTTTACTTAAAGACAGACGCTAACAAAATGGCAGCTTCATGGTATCTGGTTCTGGTGGTATCCTTGGCGGGAGTCATGTTGGCTAACTCTCAGTGTAAGTTTAGTCTTTTCAAGATATCTTCAAACATAAAACATCTAATTGTATTGAAATCGTCATTGGCACTATTGGTAAATTGTAAATGTAGGTTGATGTTTTTCTGTGACAACTATGAGCTTGCTGAACCAGTCATCTGTACGCGTCTTTGCCATGTTTAGTCATGTGTGTTACTATGCACTTGGCAATAGAAAAAACTTGTTCTGCCACAGTCTGAATATTGTCTTTTATAGCCACTGGCACTGAGAAGTGTACGTACGGAGGTCGGGAATACGTGCAGGGGGAACAATGGGTTGCAGATGGGTGTGGTCTCACATGTTACTGTTCCTCGGCAGCTCTCAACGCCAGTTTCTGCTTTGATAAGTGGGTAACCTCCTTGACTTTTATATTTTAAATAGCAATGATTTCTGTAATTAACACTGTTGCAACTGTCCATTCTCCATAACACTGTCCTCTTCGTTCCCATCTAGCCTTTCGAATTCCAATTTATATGCCACTTTTACATTATTTGTTTGTTTTGTGTCATAAATTGGGTATTAAAATCCGCCATACGCATTGAGTTACTCATCATGATATTTTTCAAACGATTTTAACATATGCAGTATTTTGATATATATATATATATATATATATATAGAGAGAGAGAGAGAGAGAGAGAGAGAGAGAGAGAGAGAGAGATGTAAAACTGCGATATGTTGCATGTGATTTGTCATTGGGTATAAGAACATGTTTATTGAATAAGCAAGCGTCAAAATTTAATTGCCTAATTAGATGTCAAAAGTTCACCCACCTGCCAGAAGGCTGCAAGATGGAGGTCACAGCCGGGGAATGTTGTCCGCGTCCTAAATGTGACTGGATGGGTACGTTGAAGACTAACGTCACTTTACTTTCTGGGACCTCAAAATGTATAAAATGATAATTTGTGGTGGTTTACAGTCATTTTTGATGAGTTTTATCACTTCTGTGGTTAACAATAGGGAGGGGGTTGTCAATCGGATATCATTCATTTAGCAGGTGATCTGCATTCTCTAACACACACACAGGTATTGAGCCATAACCTTATTGTCTTCAAGTCACAGCATTGCAAAAGCCCCATTTGCAGTTTTTGTTAAGTACAGTTCCAGGAGTTCTATGGATTTCTGCATTTCATTTTCAACTTCTTTCAAACACACTTTACAATATACGTCTATGTGCATCGTCCCAGGCAAGTGTACGTACAAGAACAAGGCGTATGACCAGGACGAAGAGTGGGACGACGGCTGTGACTATCGCTGTAAGTGTGTGGACAGCACCAACAGCTTTGTGCAGTGCAGGAGCAAGTAAGTCACGCCAGGGGGCGCTTCTTTGAAGGAAAAGACCCTTGTTTTGAGTTTTTGAATTAGTGATATACAGGTACATGTCAAAATGAAGTGAAACGAAATCATTATTTTCGCAGAAATTTTTTATCTTGTTCATACATCAGGCCCAAAAGAATCATTTTTGTTCTCATTTTTTGATTGGAGGGGCGATATTTCCATCTTAATTTTCTTATTCAACCATTCGTTTTGCAGACGTTACAGTATCTAAAAAGAATACTACAAATTGGTTTTCATTTCACTAAAATTACCAATTAACAATCACTAAATGTGGGTATGTAAAAAATACTGCAATGTCTAAGCGACATATCACGCTACCCTTTACAATGTATATAATTTTAGATGTCCCACGTACACCAGTATCCCGTCCCATTGTCAGCTGGTCAGTGTCCCCAACAAGTGTTGTAAGGAGCTCAGTTGTACAGGAGCTTCAGGGACAGGCGTGCAGGTGAGGGGTATTGTGAGCTAGTTCCTTTAATTCGCTGTACATAAAATATGGTTTTCCGTGAAATATTTGGTTTTTTGTAATGTAATCTTTAAGAGGCTTTCATGATATAATTCCCTATCTATAAACCTTTTATTTTCTTCTTTTGTATTGTTTGAGATTCATACACAAGAACCCGTTTTTCGCC